CTCGCAAGCTGCAAAACGAAGAATGATGCATTTACCGAGCTGATCGTGCCCCCGGGACTCTTTACCACAGACGTGCACACAGCTGATCAAAAAGCAGATCCTCTCCCCGCAAACAGCATCTGCCCTTCTCGCCTAAGGGATCTCAGGGCATCAGTGTGAAAACTGGGAACGGGCTGCTGCCAGCCTGCCTCCGTCACCAACGCCAGCCCCGTCCGCCGGCCTCGGAGGGGATGCAGAGCTCGGGGATGCCGAGCGGTACCCACCCCGGCACCCCGCCGGGGCTCGGCGCTGGGGGTCAGCCCCAGCTTTCTGGGGCTGCAGAGCATCATTCCGAAGCCGCAGCTTCAGATCGCCAGAGGCGGAGAAAGAAACTTCCGTGCGACGTGGACACCCTTTGTGCCGAGCTCTGCCCAGGCTGCCCCGAACGTCTGGCCTCGGGTAACCCTTCCACGTGGCGGCCAAACCCCGGGCGCTGGCGACATCTCAGTGGGTGACAGCACCCAGCTGGTGCTCCAGCTGGTCCTCTCCCCAGCAGTCCCATACCTATAGGATACGTAGAGCCCCTAATGACCTTAGAGTGCTTAAATGACAGCACGATTAAGCCTAATGCACTGACGCAGTCCAGCGTGCCTCAGGCTCCGTGCCCACGCGGGCGTCTGGGTGCAGAGCCACATGTTCCCTGCTGAGCTCCGTCACCTCAACCTGCTCCCTGCGCCTCTGGGTCCTACACAGCGCTGGGGGATCCCCTGCAGTGAAAAGGGCCGAAGAAGGCACCAGCTGCAGCTTTGGAGACCTCGGTGTTGCTGTTCCCTCCGGCTGAGCTCCGGGAAGGCGTGCTGAGCCCGTTTCCCAAAGGGGGAGGCGGGGGTGCAGCTCTGGCCTTCAAGGTCCGTCGGTCTTGGACTGCCGACAGACCCAGGACCCTGCCTCGCTCTTTGGTGCAACTTTGCACCGTGCCACGGGCGAGCGTATCGCTAATCATCCTTTTCTATTTGCGGTACGTAATCGGGGATTGCTTTGGATGGTTCTGAAGTGGAATGAGTTCAGTAGATGACATTAACATGGAGGCAAAAGCTGATGCTGCACAAGGCAGAGAGGCTTTGCGTGGGCAGGGCAGCCTGGCTGCCTTCGTGTCTGGGCAGGCGGTAGCAGGCAAGGGGACAGAATTTGTGACAAGTGCCAGGTCCCCCATGAGGTCCCGCGCTTATCTCCATCACCCAGGGCTCGGTGCCGTGCACCACTGCACCCGCTCCTGCCAGCACCGGTGGCTGTGCCGCGCCGGGCTGCTCTGCTGGGTGCTGCTGGCAGTGGGTCACATCTTGCCCGTCCCAGGGACCTCTGCCCAACAGCTCCTGGCCCGGCCACGTGTTGGCCCAGCCACTCCATTTTACGTGGCCGTCGCAGCGAGAGGTCTGCAGCAGCTCATGCCTGTGCGGGAGGGCTGAGCGATGCCTCCCCTTCTCCCCGTACCCCTCCAAAGCAAAACCGGCCCCAACAAAACCTTACCTCGGCCTCGTGCCGCCTTCCCCAGGTCTGCGTGGGAGCAGGAGAGCAGAGAGGGCATCCTCGTCGCGGCGGGAGGATGCAGCCCCTCCGTGCCCCCGCTCAGCCCTTTGTCCCCAGAGCTTTGCTTCCTCCTCGCCTGGATGCTCAAGTTCAAGGTAAAAATGGAAGCCCCTCCAGTTGGCGGCCCCTGCCCCTGGGGTACCTGTGGAAGCGATGGGACCCGACGGTCCGGGCAGCACCTGGGGAAGGTGGGTCCCATTTCCCCAGCTGCCCGCCGCTGCCGTTTCGAGCCCGGTGGTTTTTTCTCTCTCTCAGTTTGCTCCTCGCCCCTTCCTGTGCCGCGGGTCTTGCTCGATCTTCCTTCCTGTCAGTGCAGGGCTGCCGCCTATGCAAATCGATGCGAGTTATCCGCTGAAAAACAGCAGCGCATGGTAACCGCCCGTAGCCTGTACGACCCCCCGACAGCGGGGTCTGCCCTGGTGGGGGGGACGCTCGGTGCACGGCCGTTTCCCCAGCCACGGCTGCTTTCTCCCGGGAGAGCCACAAAACCAGGCTGACCAACAGCCAAATTACACCGAATTCCCTCGAAGCAAAACCACGAGCGCGCCCTGCCCTGGAAGAGCCGAGGATTTTTGCTGCGTTACCCCCCTTGCTAGCCAGAAACGCTGGGGAGAGCCCATGGAAGAGGCTGGTGTCGCAGCAGCTCTGCCCTTTGCTGGGCCACGCATGGAAACATTTCCACGAGTAAATTCAAGTTGTATCTTGAAAGAGCAGAATAAAGGGGCGGCAATAAACCCCCCTTCCTCCAAAGCCATTTTTCTGCCAGCGCTGAATGCTTTCTCAAACTATGAGTTTACCTCTAAAAAGGTGGATCACGTCACACCAAGGAGCGCTGCATCCGCACCCGAGGAGCCAGAGCCGCCGGCAGCAGCGGGACCGGCAGGATCTCCTCTCCCCAGCTCCGCTCAGGCAAGTGGGGTTGATCGTTATTTTGCGTTTTTGTTCTACAAAAACCTTAATTTGTAAATCCTATAACAGGTTTTGCTGGCATTTAGGGCAAATCCTATCAATTCTGAGATGCCGAGCAGCGAAGTCCCCTGAAGGCGGGTGGGCAGGGTGGCGCAGCAGCGCTGGGACCCAAGGCATGTAACTCTGCTTTCCCTGAGTCCTGGGGCAGAGCGGCAGAGCCCAGGGAAGCGTGGGGGAAGTGCATCTCACCAAAATAATAAGATAATCGCACGCCACGGTGGGGTTTGCTGCCATCCCGGTTTATACCCAGCGGCTCATTTTTTGGGCCAAAAGCTCCCACTGCCGGGGTGGTTTGGGAGAGGTCAGAGGAAGCAGAAGTCAGTGATGAAAACAGATGAAAACAGCACGTCCCGTTACGAGACCTGCCCTGGTGGGATCTAGCAGGTAGCTCTAATGAAGCTGCATCTAAATCTATAATTACACATCTTTCCCTTCATCAAGTCCAGCTGAGAGGTGGTCGATGGCTGATGGTGGAGATGATGGTGGAGATGATGGTGGAGATGATGGTGGTTGGTGGAGCTCTCATGGTGGAGAGCTGGTGGGGGAACGGGGTGGGCTCACAGCCAGATCATCTGCATGCGGTGAACTGTGTTTGGGGAGGAGAGGTGGGGGCAAGCAGGAGTTCGGACCTCCAGCCACCGCTCTGGGCTGTGCGCCTCCCGGGGATTGCTCTCTGCCGGTCCTAGGGCTGCGCCCGGTAAGAGGTTAAAACCTTTCCCCTCCCAAGCGTTGGGTCTATTTCCTACCCCGTCAGGAGGCTGGCTTCAAGAGGAGATGGCATCTGGGAAGTCCCATCAGCTGCCACCTTCCCGGTAAGCTGCAGCTAAAGATCCCTCACATCAAAAATGACTGTGCAGAAGCCCCAGTCGGGGCTGTGCCTCCTCCTTTCACCATTACCCATTTATGTTAATTAATGCATCTGAACTATTTATTTGCACATGTACGTAACATGTCCCTCATGTATTTTCCAGGCCGTTTACTTGATTCAAACCCAAATTTCCCAACGTGCTTACCGAGCCCAACCTAGAGTTCCCAGCAGGATGAGTTTGACCCATCCCTCAGCGAGCACAGCCCCTGCTCGGCTTCTCCAACCGGCCCGGCGAAGCCCGTGAGGTGACACCGAACTCGCAGGGGTGGTTAGAAAAGCACCGGAGACGACTCCGCGTATTTTGGCTCGCCCGGGGTTGCTCGGCGAGGGGGTGATCGGGGACCCATCCCCGAGCTCGGCCCGACGCAGAAGCCATTCGCCTGGGGATGACGAACCGTCCCATCTCTGGAGGGAGCAGGGGGATGCTCCTTGGGAACAAGCCGGCCTTCCACCCCGAGAAAAACGCGCGAAGCACGGTACCGGGGGACCGGCAGCACTCCCGCTGTTGCAGCGTGGGGGTCTACAAGCCTCGGGATGACCCCGGGGC